CAAAGGCAAGTTTTAGAGTCACAGGTTGGAAATTACAAGCTCAATATGTCACGCCTATAATTCAAGTTGGATATTTGACCATTCTTATTGAACAGCTGCAATATTTAACTTTTACCTTTTTTTTTTTTTTTTACATTTTTGTTGAAATGTGACGGTATGGCATAAGACAGAAAATCTGTGGAAAAAAACAAGCTCCTCTGCCTTCTTCCAGTGCTAACTAGAAACAACCAATCAGGATTGAGGAGGTTCTTAGTGCTATCAATGACCCTCCATGTGGCTAGCAACAAGCTATGAGCAGAGCTTGTTGTAAATGCTCCAGCTACTAGTTAGCATGACCACGGATGATAAAAGATTTTTCAGCAATAGTTGTTTCTGCACCATTAGTACAGTGAGCACCATGTACATTAGGTTGATTGACAGCTCTGGTAATAGTTGAAACTTGGACAGAGTCGGGTGTTGTAATGCCAAAGTCTTGTTAAATTCAAATATTATTTGAGGGTGGATAAAGATGTTTGAGTGTCTGTGTTTAATATATAATGTATGTGTAGAGAAAATTTACAGTTTCATGACTAACAAAAGCTTTGATAGTCATGAAATCCTCTAAAACATGATCAAAAATATTATAAACACTTGTGATTTTTGTTTGGAGTTGTGAAGGTTTGCCTGATTCATCTCGAATTAACACAAAAACTGACTTTTCAAAGCTGTAATGAGTGAAATGAATAGTTACTTACTAGAGACAAATACTTAACCATGTATGTCATGTTGCACAGATTAATGTAGTTTCAAAAATGAAATCATAATTGAAGTAACTTTCAACTAGTGAGAGAAATCAGTTTCATGAGGAAAAATACAATTATTTGGTTTTAAAAAAGCATCCATTCCAACTATCTGGCCGCTGCAGCTTGTGTGTTTTTATCTCATCTTCATTTTCAGCCTGAACAGAGCAGAGATCCTCAATCTCTCTGTGCAAACCGATGACCACTCGCTCCTTCTTCAAAAAAAAAAGCCCACTCGGATGAGCCGCCCTCTCAGAAACATTCCCAGCATTATTGCGTGCGCGCACAAACGCATGAGAGATAGTGAGTTTGAATGAGAGATCCCTTGATTTCAACAGCCTCTCTTCTTACAGTGAGGTGTGGGTGCAGAGGTCCATATATTAGAGCGATGACAGAGCTGTGTAGTTTCCCCATAAATAATCCTCCACCCACACACACTCAAGGAGAGCCTGTGCAAACAACAATACCCAGCAATGACACACACTCCGGCAGCTCCAGCACACCAGCATCTCCTCATATGAAATATTGAAGCAGGGCTAGATTAAGAGTCTGAGGCTGTGAGAGCAGACCGGAGGAGAAGCTCCTGACTTTTTCGCTCTTTGCTTTTTTTCTGGTTTGTGTTTTTAATCTCTTTCTTAAAACATACTTGGGTCATTTAAGCCAATTAGATCACATAATGGAGCAAGGTTTCACTTCAGTCCACAACCGGTCATTAATGAAAATTGGGAAAGGGGAATAAAGTAGATATAGGAGGGAAGTTAAGAGGAAAAGAGGGATACTGAGCCTGTAAAGAAGCAATTGGCCTCCAAGTCTCTCTTATGTATTGACCACTTGATGCAGACCTACAGTTGCAGTTAATCTTTTCAAAAAGAACAATTAGGCATTAACAGCAGATGGCCGTTCATACTCGGCCGGTTTCTGCCGGATGCTTCTGCCTGGTAAGATTGAGTCATTTCTCTTCACAGTCGCCACCTGCTTGCTCAGGATAAAAGTTTATCAGCAACTTTTCAACTGAGCTGACTTGGATAAATAACTGTTTACCAATAGACATTATGAACTAAAGTTGACTAGACTGTATTTTAACTGGGTTCAAATGGAACTGAATGCTGAATTTCATTTACTCTTGGTCTCCATTTTTCTGCTTTTTATCATATATTTCTTTATTATTGGATACAAATTTGATCTGTTTTCATCAATAGTCTTGAGATGACATTTTTTACAAATTAAATTAGTTTTTAAAACCTCATAATAAACAGTTCACTTTAACATGATTTACTTTTTTTTTTTATAAAAGCATCAAAGGTTTGAAGATTTCCACAATGGGTGCAAATAAAAGCCCTTCTTTGTATTTCTTTTACTCAAATGGTCAATTTTTCTTTATCAGGCAAATCTATTTACAATACTTAAAATTATTCTTTGAGTGCTTTTGTATTTTGTCTCTGATTTAGAGGTTTGCTTTTTGCTTTTTTGGAGGGGTTTTAGCTCAAAAAGTTGTCTTTGGGGAATTGTGACCGAACTGCAATCTGCATGTTGGGTTTTTGGGCATTTTATGGAAATATCACTTTCCAGCTAAATTTAAAATATGAACCGTAGAAATGTTGGAACGTAGTGTGGAGAAATTTTAACTTATTCCTCCACACAGCTCAACCCTCACAGGTTCAGAATGTGATAAATGCACTACCTCCCCACCAGGTCTCTTTCCTTCAACCCTAGTAATCTGTTTCTACATTGACAGATACAGTGGAAATGTAAGAGGGGTAAAAATAAAATGGCTCTCTGCGTTCCTCTTTCATCTCCTTCTCTTGTTTTTCTGATTTTCAAATCAAACTCATATGTTTCCTAGGTTATCGAATCCGTTTGGGCTCAAGCACAGACAAAAAGGACACCGGGCGGCTCCACGTTGACTTCGCTCAGGCCAGAGACGACTTGTACGAGTGGGAATGCCGCCAGCGCATGTTGGCCCGAGAGGAGCGTCACAGACGCAAGTTGGAGGAGGATCGCCTACGGCCGCCGTCCCCTCCTCCCATTGTCCACTATTCAGAGCACGAGTGCAGCCAGCTGGGAGACAAAATCAAAGGTACCTGGACACGGACGCTGGCAACCGTTGGGACTTCAGCTGTGAAATACTGGAGAACAAACACTGGAAACTGAGAATCACAGGGGGGGAAAATGCTTAATGGCTTAACCTGACGAAGCAACAGGGTTTCTACACAATCTGGAAAAGCATAGAATCTGGTTTAGATATTTTACAAGTCTGGACAAGTATGGAAAAAGAAAAAGGAGAATTGGGAAATGTGTCTCATGTGAGACATTTTTTCCTATTCCTTTGTCTTTATGTTGTGTCCTGTTCTTCCTGTCTGTCTTCTTTGTATTATTCCTTCTTTCCTCCTTTCCCACCCTGCCATTTCTTTCTTCTTCCCTTGTTTGTGTCCTTCCTTTCTCTTCTTTTGTTCGTTCTTTCTTCTTGTAGCTCGTTCTTTCTTTCCTTTCATTTTTCTTTGCATTATTATGCTCCTTATTTGTCTCCTTTCTTGTGTTCTTCCTTTCTACTTCATTCTCTTTTTTCTTTCCTCCATTTCTTCTTTGCGACCTTCCTTTGTTTTTTCTCCATATCCATCCTTTGTGGCCATCCACGTTCAAACCTTCATGTGGTCACAAGCTTTGGGTATTGACCAAAAGAACGAGATTACGGACATAAGCATAAGTTTCCTCTTCAGGGTGTCTGGGTTCTCCCTTAGAAACGGGGTGAGAAACTCCGACAGAAAATAATGGATGAATGTCCAACATGGTGACGCTTTGCAAAACGGATATATCATGGGAGGAGACCTAGAGTACAGCAAAGCATTTCCAGCTCTAACAGACTGTGTGAATTTGTTGTAACAGATTCTGTTAAATGCCGTATGAGTGGATCCCAACAACATGCTCCCGGGTTTTCTCGTCCGCCCTCGCCGCTCGTCTTTTTTCAGTTTTCTCTCCTTAACTCCTCTTTCTGCCTCTTTACAGCTTTCTGTCGACTTTCTGCCTGGATAAACTTGTTTCTCTAATGAGCAGTGGCACTTCCAGGTCTCAGTCACAGTGGCCTGATAACTCGACTGTGACTTTCCGCTTCTCTGCGATCTGCATGTGTCTTTTTCAGCTCTCCGCTGTCCGTCCTTAGCAAAAACAAGGAATAAACTCAGATGCCGATGTGCTGCTTGAGCCAAGAATGTGTTTGTGATCTCTCTAGGCTGCTGTTGGGAGCAACACAGTCATTTGCTGTAGATTTTTTTTTTTTTTTACCCAGAGGGGAAAGGAGATCTTGCTGTTTTTACTGCCAGTTTGTATTACTGTACTACAAACTCAGTTACACTCTATGATGATAGACCACCTGCAGTAGAAATGGGTTTTATAGCCTATTTTGCCTCCAAGTTATCATTTTAGTCCACGATGTTGTTTTGTTAGCAAAATAGATAGCTGAAATGATCATTTTCCTTTTGCGGCACAGCTGTAATTTTAGTTTTTTTGCCGTCTTTTCTTTTTATGTATTCTTTCACTCAAGTCATAATTTTGTCCTAAGAACTTGAAAAGCAGCGTTTTATGCATAATAACCATCATTTTCCACAGAGGCAGGAGTCCGGTACAGCCTTGTAGATTTTGTCCAAAATTAACTTCTTTCTTCCACTTCGTGCTTCCCTTCTTTTTCCCCCCCAGACGACGGTAAGTTTCCAGAGGCCGTCCGCGTGCTCCTGACCTGGCTGGAACGGGGCGAAGTCAACCGCAGGAACGCCAACAACTTCTACTCCATGATCCAGTCCTCCAACAGCCACATCCGCCGGCTGATCGGCGAGAAAAGTCAACACGAGAAGGAGATGGAGGAGGCCAAGGACAAGTTCAAGACGGCGCTGGCTGGCATAGTGGCTCAATGTGAGTCTTTGTCGTCACTCTTAGCACTTACTGCAGTGCCTTGGCCCTTTAACTTTTTCACTGTTCGATCTGAGGCTTCAGTGTGTTTTATGGGGATTTTATGTGATAGTACACAGAGTAATCCATAAATTTGAAGGGAAGGGAAAATTCTTCTTGGTTTTTCACACAGCATTTGGAAATCTGCATTTGTGTTTTTCTTTTTTTTTTTTTCTTTTTTTTTTTAGCCCCACCAGAAACGATTCACCGTGGAACGGCCTCTCACTATGAGGTTTGGGGTTAAGTACGAGTATGACTCCTACCAGCTGTCCACATGTGGAAGCTGAAACATCAACCCATACATTTTTGGAATATACTCAAACTAAGTCATTTCAGTTCTGAGGTCTTGTTGCAGATTCCCAGTTATATTCAGGTTTGGCCTTTGACTACGCCATTCTAATCCATGAATAAGCTAAACCAGCTCCTGCTGGAGGGCATAGTCTCTCCCTAGACTTTCCCTAGTTTCAAGTATTTTGCAAGTCTTTTGCACTTTTCCTAACAACTCTGATCAGAGTCCATTTCTCTGCTCAATAGTATAATCCCACCACAATATTTCGCCACAGAGATGACATGTTGATGGTTGTTGGGCTTATCCGACCAGAGTGCCATCTACCGCCATGTTTTACTTTGAAAATCCCTTGGGTTTCTTTAAGCAGTTGTTTTCCTTGGCCAGATTTGTGTTTGAGTTGTTGTTTGGACAGAGACTCTCACCTCAGCCGAGGATCTCAGCGGATCTCTGCTGCTCCCTTACTTCAGGTTCAGATACACCTCCACCCTGGTCGTCTCATAGGTTTTCTTCCAGGATTTTCTTGTTTTTATCCTTCATTTTCTTCCCATCAACTCTGATTAGCTCCTGAGTTTCTGACAAAGAAAACCATCCCCACAACAAGATCTGTATTAATCAGAGATTAAATTAAACAAGTAGTATTTATGCACTAAACAAGAAGCATCTAAAGTGAATTAATTGACTTTCATTTATTTAGACCAAAGCAGCTTGAATACAAATACACCCCACACTTTTCACTTTTCTATTCATAAAAACATTTGGAAACTTTCACTTCTGCTCAGTTATCCTCTGCTCTGTGTTGGTCTATCACATAAAAGCTAAATAAAACACACTGAGTTTTTTTTTTTTTTTGGCTGTGAAATGACTACATGTGAAGCCCAGAGAGTAAAAATACTGCTTGTGCAGTAGATATCCAGGTCAGATAAATGTTTTCTTTGGGGGTTTTTTTTGCTTGCTTGGTGTAATTTTAAAATCCAAATCAGGACTTTTATGCCCGGAGTGCTGAAATCCACAGAAAAAGTAAGTATTACATTGTTCATAGCCTGTCACTGAGAGTATACGCGCTAACATTTATAATTACATTCATTGTATTCTTCCTTAAACGAGCTACCACAATCTTAATAGCTGATTAAAGAATGGTAAGTTAAATCCCCGTCTCCCTCAGACGTTCATGGATGTTTTTGATGCCTTTGACTTTCAAAATGCCAAAAAAAAATCAGACGTTATTTTATTATTCATGAAAGACGTCAGGAGTCGATTGTTAAGGTTTCCCTCAGATGAAAGAAGTAAGTGGCCTAACACATTTTTTTTTTCTAGAGTACAATGAAGACCAAACACAAACATTTACTGTGTTTAGTTGTTTTACTCTCTTATTGGGTTAACAAAAAAAGGCCATGCTTGTGCAGCACCACCTTTGACAGCTTCAACTCCACGACTGCTAGTTTACTCCACAGCCTGCGGCGCTCAGTCTCCCCTCATCCCACCACACGCATGTTAAACACAATGTAAACATCCAGACAATCTTCTGTTGTTGTTGGCGGTGTTTCATGCATTATTAGTTAAAATAAGCCATGAAGAGGCAGAGTGTGTATAATCCATATTTGATTATTTCTACCAGTAGAAACACATTCCCATTCACGGTGTTGCCTTCCCTTTGGTGTGTTTCTGTTCTTATTCATTATAAATCTGAGCTGGTCTGCTGGATCTAGTTTACAGGTTTGAAAAGGGTAAAGCTCTCTTCTTTTTGGTTCTGGTCTTCTTATGGGATGCAAATTGAAAAAGTACTTGCAGAGCTGTAAAGAAGTATATGCGCTCTTACCGATTTATTCTTTTTTCTGTTTTTGTAATCTAGATAAAATTATGAAACTTTGTAAAACAGGAATATGTCAGAAGGCTTTTGAATGCTTCTGAAAGAAAACTAACACTTGATTTCAGAAAATGGAAATTATAAAGACAATCAAATCTCATTGTAATCATGTAGTCTGGGGATACTTTGTAGCTTTAGGATTCAAATAATTCACTGTAATTTGAAGAACCATCCAAAGAAGAATGTTTGCCATTCAGTTAGTGACCTTAGCTGCACCTGGGTTATGCAGCAGCATAACTGAAACCAGCTTTGAGTAGTTCAAAAGATAAAATACATGAAGGTTTTAGAGTGGCCTAGTCAAAGGTCAGAGTTAAATACATCCAGCTGTCTCAGCATGTCCTTAAAAAGGGCGTTCATGCTCAGACCCTCCAGTCTGTCGGCTTTTAAGCAATTCTTCCTTAAAATATGAAAAAACTTGATGGCAATTGTTTATGCACACAGTGGCAGGAAGGCCTGGACGGCTTTTGTTTTGCTTCTTCTTTTTTTAATAAAATCTTGATTTAAAAACAGTTTTTGTTTGATGATCCAAACTGTTTAAGTGTATCAGTTAAAAGCAAAAACATTTGACATCTGCAAGAGGGCATATTCTTTTTAACAATATTAATATTTGGTATAACAAGTGAGAAAAAAAATGCACTTTTAATATTTTCTCCGTTGAATGAAGAATTTCTATTTTAGCACTTAAAAAATGCTGCCTCGTCATATTTCTAGCTGCATAGGAGCTCACAGTCCTGCAAGTTGATTTTTTTTTTTGTGCTCAGTGTCTCTCTTTGCCTTCATCATCACTCTGTTCATCAAATTACAGGGTGCTGGGAAGATGCTATTGATTCCTGAGCTGTTCTGTCTCAGCACCCTGCAAACACACGCATTCATACAGAACCAGTTTTATCGATTCGTGTGTGTATATTTGAACCTCAGAAATGCACAGACCTCCCATCCAGTCCTCTACAACCACTTTAAACAGAGCTGTAAGCTGATAGGAGGAAGAGTCAACACTGTGCCGCAGATCACCGCACAGGTAGGGTCTGCAGTGACCCTACAGTTGATGCTTGTGTCTCATTCAGTTTTATCCCAAAACAATTCTTATAGCTGAGTCAAAGCTTAGTTCTCTACACTATCTGTAGAGCTGCAGCTTGTCTGATGTGCTCCTACCCTTTTGTGAAAAAGAAAAGGGTCCTCTGCAGAGGGATGTGTAATCAGGAAGACTGTAATGCGGCAGTACGAAGGCGTCCTTGGGTAAGGTTCTTAAGAGACCTGTTCTGCAGTGGAGCTGCACTGTGGTCACTGCTGGCAGAAGAACAGTGGGTTATTTTTGGCCACCGGCAGTCTCTGAGCAAATCTAATAAACTCGCAGTGAAAAGGTTCACAGTGGAAAATCAGGCATATCCTCGTAGCTTATGCTACGAAGGGTCTAAAGGCAGTTTGCCAGAATTTGATACACTCTCACATGGACTCAGTGATCTGTAATAAAACAACTGGCAACCAGTTTTTGTAAGCTTTGTTCCTATGTGTAGCTGTACTTGCTGGCATGTTTGCAGTAATTAGTTAATTTAATATTGCATATCTTTTTGTTTTTGTTTGTCAGAAAGTTCCCATTTAGCAGTTTCACATTTATTTTTCCCACAAAATAAAAGATTTTGGCCGTGGTGACCCCATATTCCTCAGGAAACGGTACTTGGCACTGCTCCCATTCCACACTGTGTAGGTCATAAGACCATCTGTCTCTGGGACTCATCATTTTGGCATCACCTGGTTTATTTTAATGTATGATGATTGCTAAAACATTTCAGACTTATAGTTGAGAAACAAATGCAGAGCAAACATAATAAAAGTTCACAGTGGGGATGTGAAATACTGTGCAGAAATTTTAAACCACCACCTAATTTCTTTATATTTTGCTTCTGGTGAGCCTGGATAGTATCATTATCTTTTAAATTGTAAATAGTTGTCCAGATTTTTCTGAATTTTGTGTAAAGTTTATTGTTTTTTGCCCTTTTTCTGTCAATTCATTAACTGGCTAAAGAAATTAAGAAGTGTGTGTGAAATAATTTTTACATGTCGGCTTCAAATGGCGCTCATCCTCTAAGAAATGGTACAAAATCAAGCAAAACCCTGACATAGAACAATGAGCATGTACAGTTTGCAGCTGTAGTTCATGGGGAGTGCCCTGGATTCTGCTGAAATACTTTCATATATATATATATATATATATATATATATATATATATATATATATATATATATATATATATATATATATATATATATATAACTTTACTGGTGGTAACTTTACCAAAATATTACGTTTAAAATGGAGAATAATCATAAAACTGATTTAATTTCAGTGTATTATGTTGTAAGGTTTTTTTATTGCACCACTTTTCCATTGACTCTGGTTCTGGCCCACATTCAGAGTCTAACAGTGGCTTCTCTCTCTGACATCCATTCACTGCATTTTTACTCCGACTTTACGACTGCTGAGATTCATTTGATTCACGTTTTTACACAGCTATTTTGGCAGCGTACTCTTTCTAAGCAGACCTCTGTCCCTTTGACTGGTGTCATATGAGAGAGGAAAAGGAAAATAATCAATTCAGTTTATTTATTTAGTGCCAATTCACAGCAAATATCATCCCGAGTCCCCTTGCAAACCAAACTGATGCAATTTATATACAGAAATATTGAGTCAATTCAGTCCAAGTTACGACACAATGCATTGAAGTTTAGTGTATTACCTTGCGCTTCAGGAAGTGGTGACCTTTCACTCATGATTTCAGTTTTATAGTTGTTTTGCATTGCTACCACTGTTGCTGATTTTGCCTAACCAACCACATTAGGGCTTCAGTCAAAAAGCACATCAAGACATTAGTAGATTATTAAATGTTTACTTTGGAACTACGGGCTGTAGCTCTACAGCAATGCATCCTGGGTACAGAAAAAACATGATGGTTTGCTTCACCACATCATGGGTGGAGAGGAAACAACCGCAGAGTAAACAGTTTTTATCCTCTTCAAAATAAGAGCAGGAATATAAACATGCATCTACTTGAAGATTTCTTTTAGAGTTGGTAACCAAAACTTCACCACAGAGGTCAAAGTTTATTCAACTTAAAGTTTGTGAAACTGCAAAGTAAATTAGCTCTTTAGACTTTATCTGGAAAATTTTATTTGGGGAAGCGAAGTGCGGTAATGTTTTCAAAGTCTGCAAAAACACTGAAGCACTATTAGCAGGGCTTTATATTATTAAAGAGAATATAAAGCACTTCTAAGATATGAATGGTTGGTATGAAATGACGCATGGTCTGCTAGAAGCATCCGGCGGCACCTTTTCCCATCCGAAGTATTTGTGTAAAAATAGCAAACACACATGGTGGCCAGCACCCATTTATAAAACATCCCCTCAGTTTAGCAGCCTTTTTTTAATGTCCAAAGGATTCACAAGTCACGCTCTAACAAAGAAATGTGCTATGCAAAACATTCCTCAGAAAATGGTCAGATAAATGAGTTTAAAAGGCAGCTGAAAACCAAAAAACTGTCATAAAATCTGACAAAGTCTCACATTAATTGAACATGAAAGACTGTGTGATTATTCAAAATTGTCAAATGTGACTTGGAACAGCCCTCCGTAAGGCGATGCCGTGGCATCCGTCGGTATGTATAACACACACAAACATGCTCACACAGAGTACTGATGCCTAGTTGACTCCACTTTCTCACTCCTCTGCTCCCTCCCAACTGCCCTCTGTCTTTCTCTGTCTCTGTCTCTGGGTGGTCTCTGCTCCTTCCCTGCATCCCGCCACAGTTGAACAGATTGTGTCTGTATTCCAAGCTGCTTCCAAACAAAAGGCATGGGACCATTTCTCCAAAGCTCAGCGCAAGAACTTGGACATGTGGCACAAACAAGCCGAGGTTGGTACACTTTGGTTTCATTCTGTTGTGCGTGTAAAATATGTAAAAGTTAGACGTTCTGCTTTTCTGTTTTGTGCTTCATTGACAACTTTGTTATGTTTTAACTAGTCCTACATTATGGCATGGAAAAGGATATCTTTATTAAAATGTTTTAAGGAGAAATACAGAAAAACAGTGATATCTAGTAAGTACTTTTAACCAAGAAAGGCAGCAGAACAGGTGTCTGCTCACTGCAGAGGTCCAGACATCTCCCCCCCATCCTCTTCCTCTTTTCTCCTCACCCCTCCCTACTTCCCCTCTGAAGGAATACAAGCTGCTGGGTGAGTTTGTTTCCATCTCTAATGGTGTCCTGCACACAGGTAAATCTGTACAAGCTCTTTTCCCTGTACCAAAGGATCCCAGGATTACAGGAAACTGTCAGGAAGAGCATCTTGAGACCTGAAAGTGTGTGAATTTTGTTATTCAAGCAGCATTTTTTTGTCATTTACTGTGTGCTTGCCGTGTTCTTACTCTCCCGAATGGAACATTAATTGGCATGATGATGGTTTGTATGTAATGGAGGGTCTGGAGTGTGTTGCAGTCCGGGGTCTAATGGACCATTTATGATCATATTTCGATTGGTAAGTTTCTTTGAACTTCAGCTCGACAAACAGATTGAAGCTGTAATTTAGGGGCACATTAAGTCGCGCACGCAGAATAATAACAGAATCTGACATGGCAGAAGCAGCAATCATCCTGCACTAAAACCTCTCTTTATAAGGTAGGTGATGAAAAGCAAAGCTGTTGCTGTAATTCTCAGAAGTATCAAAACAGTCGACCTGAAATTTTATCCTCCATCTGTTGCTGAAAAGTAGAAGCTTGTGTGGAAGTCAGTTTGCACACACGGTGGGTGGATGAGGGACGAATGTTGAGTACCTCTTCTATACTCTTTATGTTCAGTTTTAAGTTATAGATCAATACAAAGTAGCTTATGTTTGCTTTGTAGAATGAAAATATATGTTGTTTTCTTCGATTTATTAAAAGTGACATTTTTAGTTGATTGTTTTGCCCATCTTTCTTTGAGCTAAACCTCAGTCAAATTGGATGCAAATGACTATGACTAGGTCTGGACTTTGACTAGGCCATTATAAGCAAATAGCAGCTTTAGATGTAAGTTTAGGATCATTTTCCTTCTGTATGGCAAACATCTCCACCAGTCTCAAGTCTTTTGTCGCTACCAATAGGTTTCCTTTCAGGATGATGTTATAAACTGTTATAAAATGATGATGTTTTAATGAAATGTTTTACTTAACTATCCTGAGAAAATGAAGAATAATTCTGTATATATAATTGCAGCCGACAATCTTTAGAGAAAAGGCAATAACTTGTTTTAAAAGAGACTGAATTAAAACCACAGAAACAATGGCAGTATAAACACTACAGTAAGTGAATGTGTTACCAACTACATTTGGAACGACGTATGTAAGTAAGCATACTGAATCTAAGACGTATACCACACTTTGAACATGTTTATCTGTAAAAAAAAAAAAAAAAAAAAAAA